ATTAGGATTCTAATGTTGAAATATATCTTTATTTTTAATAGACAATTTATGGTTGTTTTCTTTTAGACAGACAATATAGGGAAATTCCATGGAATTATTGCGGCACAAACACCAATTGGTTCGTGGCGAGTATAAGCAAATTGACTGGGGTCCGTCTCGATAACCTATGATCATCATTAATTTCACAATAACAATAGATAAAAAAAAAAAAAAAAGAATAGATGATAAAATAATAATTACTTTTCCGTGAATCTTATCCAATCAATTGCGTGTCCAACGTCAATAAATTTAGCAGTAGAAAGGGTTTGTCCATTATCAAGTGTCTCCAAAGCCGCTAATTCCTCCGTGTCTCGTACCATAAAATCAGCTCTTAAAGTACTTAATAGCCCTAACCCACCTAGTATATGAGCAACTGCATCAAATTTCGGTCTTGCAGATGCAACTCTAAGACGTGCGTTTAAAAAAGATCATATACCTGACCGTTCTGGCCCTGCAACAGTCTTAAGTAGCTACGAAGAAGAACAATTGGTGGGTTACTGTAAAAATATGCAAAGGCTAGGATTTGGTCTTACAAGATCTGGAGTAAACCACTGCATGATAAATATCATGAATAGCGATAGCCGTAATCATTCTTTTAAAGATAGTGAACCTGGTAAAGCTTGGTGGAAATGTTTCATGAAAGACTATTCTGATCTATCTTTTCGAGTGCCTCAAGCCTTATCAGAAGCATATGCGCAAAGAGCCAACCCAATTATTATTAAAGATCATTTTGATAAACTAAATAAGGTAATTTAAGATAATTCACTTACCCCAGACCGTATCTGGAATATGGACGAAACCGGCTTCGTTATAGCTCCCAAAGTTCAGAAAGTTATTGCTGCCAAAGGCTCCCGCCAAATTCATATGGTTGCCCATGATAATTCGCATGATTATATTTTTGTCGCATCAACGATTTCAGCTGCTGGTAGCTATATCCCTCCATTAATTATATACAAGGGCGTTCGTGCAATTCCTGGCTTGTTAAATGGAGCACCACCTGGTACGGTTATGGGGTTTACCGATTCGGGATATATGCATGAAGAACTCTTCCAGATGTATATTGAACACTTTATAAGTTCAATTCCACCTCGTCATCCAGTTCTTTTAATGCTAGATGGCCACAAAAGCCATGTTAATTATGCAAGTATTAATTTTTGTCATGAAAATAGAATTTTACTCTACGCACTTCCACCTCATACGATGCACATTCTACAGCCATCCGAACTTCCTTTTGCTAAACTTAAAACCGAGTATAGCAATGGCTGCAACCAACTTCACCAAGAAACTACTAAACTAGTAACAAAGTCCACATTTGCTAAAATCTTTGGATCAGCATATATTAAAACCTACACGCCTTCAATAATAACCAACGCCTTTAAAGTTACAGGGATTTGGCCTTTTAATCCTAATGCCATTAGTCCTGATCGTCTTGATCTCTCCTTATCTACCGAATGAATTAATTTTTTATCTTTATCTTCTCAACAAAATCATTGTTCTTCTATACCGTCTTCTTCATCTTCTATACCATTTTCTTCATATTTGATACCATCTTCATCATCTTCTATACCATCTTCATCATCTTCTATACCGTCTTTATTTTTTATACCATCTTCGTCTTCTTCACCTTCTTTTCAACAAAATCACTATTCTTGTGCACTGTCTTCAAGCCAAGCTGATATTACTAAGGAAACCGAACTATTGGCAGAAATTTATGCTCTAAATAGAGAAAATGAGTTATTAAAAGAGGAACTTGAGACATTAAAAAATCCTGGTACTTGTTCACTAAAATTAGCCCTCAAGTATCCTGCTTCTCGAGTGCCGGTGCAAGACCTTACCATTTGCTCGGCTCCTTACTAATGAAGAATCCCTGAATGCTTTGAAAGAAATAGACGAATTAGCAAAGAACAAAGCAGAAGAAACAAAAAAAAGGAAAGAGGAAGCAGCTCAGAAACGAGCTATTCGTGAAGCAGAGAAAGCACGAAAAAAAGCCGAAAGAGAGCAAAAAAAAA